TGCAAATAAGTGATTTAAATAGTCCTGATTCTATAAACCTTCTAGAAAGTAAGAGAGTGAATTTTTCTGATCATATTCATAGGAAACAAAGGGGCAAAGGTGCCTAGAGCATTAAGGCAGTGAATAAAGAGAAATCAAAACAGGCTTTGCCACCAAAGTCTCCAGTATAAAGACAATTTAACTCCAGGCTATAAGTGTATTTTTATGTACTGGTATACTTATACAGTATATATATATTTACATTTGTTCATATGCATGTGGAACTAATGCTGGATGGCTTAAGAGCTGGAAGCTGAACTAAATGAAACAAACTTGATGGCAGAACTCCATAAATTTCATGGATTTATACGGGCCTACGTTAGTTACTTTAGCATAGTAAGTCACAACTAAAGCAGACTTATTTGAATCTATGGAACTTAGAGAGGAGTTGACTCAGCAAATTGTGCTGATTGAATAGGCTTATTCTGGTGTGACTTACTATATTAAGCAGCAAGAGTTTAGCCAATATTTTGTAAAGATGTGTACGAGATCACTTGATCAAACTTAGAAGTCAATGCCGGGCTTTCAAATGTTTTCTGATTTAGTCTGGAGCAATAGGAGCGCAATTCAATTCAGTCTGTGCTCCAGATCAAGTTGATTTGTAGGCCTTCTACTGGATTGCACTGGAAAACTAAAAAGGCTTTTTTGTTTTGTCTGTTTTTTTTTAATGACACACATGGAATGTGGAAACAGACTCTACAGAGGAAGTACTTGTGTTAAAACTCAGACAGCTAATTTAATAGTTTGTGTAGTAGGCAGTGGAAGGAAGGAAGGAAGGAAGGAAGGAAGGAAGGAAGGAAGGCTTAAGTGATTTGTGATTTGTGTCCAATCCAATTCAGTCCATGCTCCAGAATCAAATCAATCTGCACATTTCTTTCATTTTACCACAGAACCAAATCTAGCCATTAAATTTGTATCTAGAAATGTTACATTTGTCAAAACCTTCAAACAACCCTGTAAAGAGACCTTTACAGGGACCTTTGGGTAATGTGGGTGGCATAATTAATTAATAAATAAATAAATAAATAAATAAATAAATAAATAAATAAATAAATAAATAAATAAATAAATAAATAAATAAATAAA